TACCAAAAAAAAGCCCTGGACCAGATGACTTTCCAGCAGAATTCTACAAGACATTTAAGGTGGAGCTGATACCAATCCTACTGAAGGTATTCCAGGCAATTGAGAAAGATAGAACTCTCTCCCAAATCATTTTACAAAGCTAACATCACATTGATACCCAAGCCAGGTAAAGACCCAACAAAGAAAGAACTACAGGCCAATATCTTTGATGAACATAGATGCTAAAATTCTCAACAAGATCCTAGCAAACCGGATTCAACAGCACATCTCAAAAATCATCCATCATGACCAAGTAGGCTTCATCCCTGGGATGCAAGACTGGTTCAGCATTCATTCGTAAAACCATAAATGTAATTAAATACATCAACAGATGTCAAAACAAAAACCACCTGATTATATCATTAGATGCAGAAAAAGCTTTTGATAAAATCCAGCACCGCTTCTTGATAAAAACCCTTGAACATCTAGGCATACGGGGAGCATAACTCAAAATAGTAAAAGCCCTCTATGAGAAACCCACAGCCCGTATACTCCTAAATGGACAAAAATTGGAACCATTTCCTCTGAAAGCTGGAACAAGACAAGGATGCCCACTCTCACCCCTCCTCTTCAACATAGTATTGGAAGTCCTGGCTTGAGCAATCAGAGAATAGAAGGCAATCAGGGATATCCAAACAGGAAAAGAGGAAGTCAAGTTATCTGTCTTTGCAGATGACGTGATCGTGTATCTTGAAAACCCAAGAGAATCTGTCAAAAACCTCCTTACACTGATAAAGGACTTTGGCAAAGTCTCAGAATATAAAATAAATGTGCGAAAGACAATCGCATTTCTTTACACCAATAATAAACAAACAGAAACCCAAATAAAAAGCACAATTCCATTCACAATAGCCACACACAAAAATGAAATACCTTGGCATCTTCCTAACCAGAAACGTGAAAGACCTTTACAATGAAAACTACAAAACACTGCTCAAAGAAATCAAAGATGACACAAACAAATGGAAAAATATCCCATGCTCTTGGATTAGAAGAATCAACATTGTGAAGATGCCCATTCTACCTAAGGCAATCTACAGATTTAATGCAATACCCATCAAATTACCAGCAACATTCTTCTCAGACCTAGAAAAAACAACACAGGAATTCATATGGAAACACAAACGACCAAGAATAGCCAGAACAATCCTCAACAACAACAAAAAAAGCAAGCGGAATCACATTACCAGACTTCAAACTTTATAAATCTACAATAATCAAAACAGCTTGGTATTGGTACAAAACAGGCATATAGACCAATGGAATAGAATTGAGATTCCAGAAGCTAAACCTCAATTTCTCAACCAACTCATTTTCGACAAAACCTCCACCACCTACCACTGGGAGAGGAGAACCTATTCAGTAAATCGTCCTGGGAAAACTGGCTGACCACATGCAGAAGACTCAAACAAGACCCCTATCTGTCCCCATACACAAAAATTAACTCTAAATATATCAGAGACCTAAATGTAAAACCTCAAACCATAAGTACCTTAGAAAATGCAGGACATAGCCTTATGGAAATTAGAACTGGCATCCAATTCCTAAACAAAATCTGAAACCCACAGGCCATAAGAGATAAGATAGACAAGTGGGACCTCATTAAACCGACAAGCTTCTGCAAAGCCAAAGAAACCATCAAGAGAGCAGAGAGACAGCCACAGACTGGGAAAAGTATTTGTCAACTCCAGGTCTGACAAAGGCTTAACATCTTGGATCTACAAGGAACTCAAACGTGCTGAAAAGAAAAAAACA